CAGCAGAGGCGGGTTCCTGGTGAAAACCAGCTCACGTTCACTGCAGAGAAAGAAATGAAGTGGTCGCTCGTCTGGACCGTGCAGCTCGCTTCCCTGTGCTCAGGGCCTAAACTTCACCCCGTTGGGGCCCTTGTGATTTCAGGATTTTTTTTTTTTTTAAGATCTATTTGTGCATACAGAGCTGGGGTACAGGCCAGAGGCTCGGGGGCAGCAAGAGGCTTCACCAGAAACAGAGCGGGGAGCAGAACAGGCCGATCCATGAAGTCTACTGCTGAGGGGAGCAGCGGGCGGTCAGGAGAGGTCTGCCGCGCCCTGGGGTCACCTCCGGGGCAGGGATTGAACTCGTGCTGAAGTGGCTTTAGCTTCTTAGTGCGGTGCTTTAGCCCGCTGCGCCAGGGAGGGCCTCAGGCTGGTTTTTAGTATTTTATTCAGTACTTTCCGTTATCAGCACAAGGGTTGGTCAAAATAACCTAGCCTGTGAGGAGGGCCTGCTGTGGTGTGCTGCGGTTCATCATGGAGAGTGGGGCCAGGGGCTGCGAGGTTGTGGTGTCTGGAAAACTCCGAGGACAGAGGGCCAAATCCATGAAGTTTGTGGATGGTCTGATGATCCACAGTGGGGACCCTGTTAACTACTACGTGGACACTGCTGTGCGCCATGTGCTGCTGAGACAGGATGAGCTGGGCATCAAAGTGAAGATTATGCTACCTTGGCACCCGAGTGGTCAGATTGGCCCTAAGAAGCCCCCCCCGACCACGTGAGCATCGTGGAGCCTAAAGATGAGATACTGCCTACCACTCCCATCTCGGAGCAGAAGGGCGGGAAGCTGGAGCCACCAGCCGTGCGCCAGCCAGCGCCTACAGCGTAACGGGGGCCGCCGCATACTGGCTCTGGAGTCTGGATGTTGCTCTGTAAGGACCTTTAATAAATGTGTAAAAAAAGAAAAGAGGAAAGGGCTATCAGAAGCGAGAAAGCCCTTTCCGCTCTAATTTTTTTCCCTAATGTTTTTAAAAAGATTTATTTTTGTCTATGCACACAAGAGCTGGGGTAGAGGCCAGAGTTGGGGGTGTTGAGAGACAGAGTGGGGAGCAGAACAGGCAGATCTGCTGAGGGGAGCAGCAGCGAGCTAAGCGGGGGGGGTCTGCTGCGCCCTGTGGGTCACTCCCGGGCCAGGGATCGAACTGGTGCCACAGTGGCTGGTGACAGCTTGATCGCGCTGAGACTCAACCCCTGCACCACCAGGGAGGCCCCCTTTTTCCTAAGATCTTTGCAGACACTCAGTGTCTCACAGCCACTTGGAAGAATCTGCCCTTAAATCGTGAATGGCAAATCTGACCTTGAGACCAAGCATTTGGCGTTCAGGACAGACGCGCTGGCTACAACAAAGTGCCCTCCCCAGACCCAGTGGCTTGAGCAGCACTGTCAGGGCCTCTTCACCCCTGTGGGCGAGCACAGCTTGTCGCAGCTCCTCAGTGGCTGCGAGCAACGCGTCGGTCCCCGCTCTGCCGTCTCCTCTGAAGCTTCTCCTGGAGGGAACCCGCATCCAGGCCCACTCCCTGGCTCTGTGCAGCACTCACAGAGTCTTGCAGGAGGGCCTCAGCTTCCTGCCAGTCCTGGGTCGCGGGATTCCCTCCTTCGCTGCCAGATGGGCCTTTCCAAAATGGCAGCTCACAGACTGCACTGATGTCACTAGTACAGGAGAGGGGGAGGGGAGACAGGAGGGAGAGGGGGAGATGGCAAGACAGAAGTTCCAGGGCTTTGCAGCCTCGTCTTGGCAGTGAGGAAACATCCATCACTTTTGCCACATCCCGCTGGTTGTAAGCAAGTCACTAGGCCCGGCCACCTGCCGAGGGGTTGGGCTATACACGTCAGGCGAGGCTGTGGGTATCAGGAAGTGGAACATTCTAGAAGGCGGCTTGGCAGTGATGTTAGAGGGTGCCTGTGTCAGACAAAACGACGTCTGCATTCCATCTCGCCCTCAGCTTTCATGAACCATGCGACGCCGGCCCGCCGGGGGCAGGAAGATGGAGCAGCTTCATCGCACGTTTCCCGTATGAAACGTCTCCGGGCCAGAGTCGCTGCTTCTCCAGCGCTTTGCCTAACAAGCTGCCTCTCTGTCAGGCAGGGCCTCTCCCTGTTGTCAGTGAGCCCTGAGATGAGTCGTCTTATTTATTCAGAGTACATTGTAGATTTCTTTTTTCCTTTTCTTTTTTTTTGGTCCAAGCATCCCTTGCAGCTGAAAGAGCTTCCTGCATTTTTGTTTGAGCACAGCTCCAGAATCTCCTATGTCACAGCTTTGTTTTGGGCTGAAGAAGAACAGTGGACACGTGCCTTATCCTTTTGCTCACCCTGTACTGATTACTGCTTATTCTTGTTTCTTTTTAAAGATTTATTTACTTATTTATTTATGCATCCACAAACTGGGGGACAGGCCAGAGGTGCGGGGGTTGGGGGTGGTGAGAGGGTTCACCAGAGTGGGGAGCAGACAGGCAGATCTCCTGAAACCCACCGCTGAGGGAGCAGCGGGGAGACAGGAGAGGCCTGCTGTGCCCTGGGGTCACTCCCCTGCCGGGGATCGACTTGGCTGTGGGCAGCTTCACAGTGCTGCGCTTTAACTCACTGCGCCACCAGGGAGGGCCTCCCCTTATTTGGGGGCACTGGAGAATGTGATCACATTCCTGTAATTTCTATTTCACTCATAGCTTTTGCCACCTTTGTCCTATTAGCAATAAATACTCATTTTCCATAGTCCAGACATTTCATAAACTACACTCAATATTTTGTTAGTATGTGCAAGACAGAAAAATCTCAGCAACCAAATAGAAACCTAGCTGAATTCATTACAAGTCAGATTAAAAGGTATCTGACTGCTCCTTTGTGTCTAAATGTTTCATGGACAAAGAACAGAGGAAGTGCTATACAATATTCCTGTGCACCATTTAATATCAGCCCAACATGTTTTCCATAAATATACTTTAGGGGGCCTCCCTGGTGGTGCAGGGGTTAAAGACACAGTGCTATCAAGCGATCACCAAGCACTGCAGTATGGGTTCGGGGGACCCACAGGTAGCGGGGGACCTCCCGTCTGACCAGCTGCTCCCCTCAGCAGTGGATTTCAGTG